CCAGGTCAGCTGCGGAGGCGAGGCGAGGAGTAGTGTTATTTCGGAGCCATGGCAAACCCAGGGTTCTATAAACGCAGACCCCAGGTGATGAAAATTTGGGCTTATTTTCGTCCTAAATGGGCAGATTCAGGTCCTAAATGCCATTGCTTCTTTGAGAGGAGGCATTGTTCTCCGTCCCCCCCTCCCCGGGTATCATTCGGCACGCTGGCCCTTGGCAGTGCGAGGGGAGAGCCCCTTCGGATGGCAGCGGGGGCACGGTCCCGAGTTAACGCCGTTTTAACAAAATCACCGGGCGGGGCGGGGGGATTTAGGACCAAACCAAAATGTCCGACGTTCCTTAGTGCGGACAATAGTGTAAATCAGCTCAGACAGTGACATTTAAGCTGAGATGGTTAATTAGCCTCCACCAGAAAAAGCCCAGCGCTAAGTGTGCTTCAACAAGCTCCGTGAGAAGGCTTGCCTTACCATTCATTTTAAATTCCCTTCTAGATATAATTGCCTATGCAAAATATGTTATTTCAAACACCACCTATTTTTTTTCCTTCCTTCGCCTTCACGTTCGGGATTTTTTTTTTCCCCTTTTAAATGTCCCGTGGCAAATAAAAATAACCCGTTGCATTTTACTAGCGCCTCAGATTATATATGTATGTATAGATAGATATGGATACAGATAAAATTTTACTGACAATTGTGGTAGAATTTATGGTGTCAATTTTACTCGCTGATTCACCCGAAGGAAAGAGGTGGGCTGGCAGCAGGCTAGAGCAGAGAAGACAAAATAGGATTTATTTTTAAAAACAGAAAGAAGGTTTCTCCGGAGTGGAAGATTTCCACACACCCCCCGTTGCACCCACCCCTCCCCCGCCGCCCCAAGCCAAACCAAGCTCAGCAACAAAAGAAAATAGCGAAGTCTGTCAGCTTGCTGAAATTTACCCTCGTTTGGGGCGGACATCTTACTGCTCGGAGTAGATATCCTCCATAATACGAGCCGCAGCACATTTCTGCGCCACGTCGACCCTTGTTTGCAAATATATCGAATAACAATAAAAGCCTTCTTGTCTTACGGAGGTACACTTACATATATGTATATGTGTATTTAAAGCAAAATAAGACGGAACACACTTATGGTCTTGGCAGAAGTTGTTGTTAGGAAAATTCAGAGCCATACAGTGCAATAAAAGAAAATGACTGCTGTAACCGTTTATGGGGTGTAAAACGCTGCAGGGTTAAAGACAAAACTTAGGGAGCCGGTAAGAAGTTTACAGATGTGCAGAACTGCGGGAGGAAGAAAAAAAAAAAAAAAAGGTTTCGGCTTGCCTTAAAAAAAAAAAAAAAAAGAAGAAGAAGAAGAAATCCAGGGTAAGATTTGATGAGTTCTAATTAGCAAAAGGGAGCTCGTTCTGGTGTGCACACACACAAAAAAGCCCCTAATTGATCCCTGAGCCAGTATTTGGGGATGCTGGGACGCCCTCTGTTGTTGCAGACAGAGGCAACTTCAAAGAATCAGCATTAAGAGTGTGTAATAAATGACGGGTCTGCAAACTGTCTGGAATTCGGCTCTTAATGAGTTTACAACTGTCCAGCCACAATTAAGATTTTCTACAAAAGCCTTTTCATTTGTTTTGTCTGGCTGTTTTAGATAAAGCGGGCGAGCGGAAATAACAACCTTTTATTGGCCTTCCCCTGCTTAAATCCAGGCTGGGAGGTGGACATTTATCT